GGGGGTTGGACTAGATGACCTCTTGAGGTCCCTTCCAACTCTGATATTCTATGATTCTATGAACAGGGTGGCTTGCCCCTTAAGGGCTAGTGGCCTGAGGACAGACCAGTAGGCATTACAAGTAGGTATTACTAAGTAGGCACACCTGAGCACCAATTACATGATTCCCCTATAAGAGCAGCTGGTGAAGGCCATCTGATGGCCCAGCACAAAGAGTTCCCAGGGAAAACAGAAGAGAGTGCAGAGGCTGATGCAGACCAGTATGCTCCAGCAAGGAAACCTGAAACTCAGGAAGTGAGAAGACAGGCAGGAAAAGCCTGGGAGTGACCAGGTAAATGGGTGGATGTGAAAACTTTATTCATAATGTGTGCTAATTTAATAAACCAAACCCCTAGGAGGGCTGCTATTATTAGAAGTTGTAAAAAGTTATTCAGAGGTCCAAGAGGGTAAACTGAGGAAGGCCACCTACAGAGTGACCTCTGGCCATGAGAGGACAAACCAGTATAGAAGAGAAGAGAATCTCTCCTGTCCAAAAGGAATCAAGAATGATCTAAATGAGGATCTGGAGAAGGACTTACCATGATGAGCCCCTGTTTGTTTTGCAGCAGGGTGAGTGTGATTCCATACACCTGAATGGACAGTAGCTTGGTCACAGACATATTCCTAGTGCCCCAATCTTCTTTCTCTATGCTGATAGTGAATGGTGTAAGGTCACTGGCATCGGTGCAGGTCTTGGCCAGGATGTAAGTGCAGGTGCCTTGGAAGTCAAAGGAGACCCCATCGAAAGAAAGGTAGTGAGGATGGCCAGAGGCAGAACAGGTCGCAGATCCAAATGGGTGGCATTTCTGGACACCGTCCACCACCCCGCATTGCTCACCAGTGCCGCAGGAGAATGCCTTACACACAACCTCCCCACCAGCCTGACACACGCACTGCTCCTCGCATGAACCGCTCGGGTGGAAGGTCTCCCCGGCCTGGTAGTAAAGTCCTCTGTGGAGGCATCCGCACTGGGAAAAGGGGACACAGTGGTCACCACTGAGAACAAAGTCCTGGTCACACACGCAGCCTTCCTTACACTGGGTCGTGCATTGCAGCGGGGCATAGAGGTTCCTGCATGTCAGATCGCAGCTGCTGCTGCTGCAGAATTCATAGTGACTGTTCGGGGGACAGGACGGAGCTGTAATTAGAACAAAGAGTTAGCTCATATAGTGCATTAGCAATATGTACAATGAACCATCACAGAACATGCAATTTCATTCAAGCTCCTAATTTTCTATTTCCTTGGTTTGATTAATTAATAAAAGGGCAACATCTCTAATTAGAAAGCAACAGAGGGTCCTGTGGCACCTTTAACACTAACAGAAGTATTGGGAGCATAAGCTTTCATGGGTAAGAACCTCACTTCTTCAGATGTACACCATCAGATCAGGATTAAACAAAGACTGTGAATGGCTATCCAACTACAGAAGCAGTTTCTCCTCCCTTGGTGTTCACACCTCAACTGCTAGCAGAGCACCTGACCCTCCCTGATTGAACTAACCTCGTTATCTCCATACTGATTTATACCTGCCTCTGGAGATTTCCATTACTTGCATCTGAAGAAGTGAGGTTCTTACCCACAAAAGCTTATGCTCCCAATACTTCTGTTAGTCTTAAAGATGCCACAGGACCCTCTGTTGCTTTTTACAGATTCAGACTAACACAGCTACCCCTCTGATCTCTAATTAGGTCCCAGTCTCGGGGACTGGGTGCCCCAGAGACACCAGCAGGGCCGGCTCTAGGTTTTTTGCTGCCCCAAGCAAAAAAAAATGTTGGCTGCCCCCCCGTCCCAACCCTGGGCTCCTCGTCGCCGCCGCCCCCCCCACCCTCACCCCCCTGCCGTCCCAGCCCTGGGTTCCCCCCCTACC